GCGCTGCTCTCGCAGACCTCGCCTCTGTGCGCCCTGGAGGAGCTCGCCAGCAAGACCTTTAAGGGGCTGGAGGTCAGCGTCCTGCAGGCAGCCGAAGGTAGGTGTTGCCACTGGATTCCCCTGCGCCCAGCATCCAGAGCCCCCGCCTCCTGTGCCCAACGCGCTTCGTGCCTCTGCCAGCCTCCTCCCGCGCCGGCCGTCTGGGCCCTCCAGCCCAAACCACCGACGCTCGAAGTAGAGATGGGAGGGACAGGACCCAAACCCTGTTTCCTAGGGACTGCTGGATAGGCCAGAGTGACCGGGAAGGGATGGCGGGAACACAAGGTCTTTCTGTGGTCGGCCTGCTCTGCCTGGCTCCCTCCCGTTCCCAGTGGCCTGGCCACTCTTAGCCCTGCTCCTGGGATGAGGAATGGAGAGCCCTTTGCTGGGAAGTTTTGAGTGAGGGTAGAGTTGGGGTAATTGGGAAGAGAGGTGGAGTACCAACATTCATACCAAAGTCAGGACTTCCCCATCCGGCTCCCTCCTGCTCTAGCAACCTTGGGTCTTTCAAATCAACTCTTCCGGGGGCCACAGGGGGTGGGGGGGCAAAACCAATGTTTTCCTAAGGACTCCTGTTAGAAGAGAGACTGCGAAAGGGGGTTTGCAATTGCGGAGGCTTCCCACAGCCCGGGAAGCCTAATCAAAACCGAGTAGGGAACAGACCGGAGGAGCCTGGGTGGGGTGCGGAGAGTGGGTGGGTTTCCTTCTCGCGTGGCGCAAGCCTACACTGTGGTTTCCTCGCAGGCCGAGACGGAATGACCATCTTTGGGCAACGGCAGACCCCCAAGAAGCGGCGAAAGTCGCGCACGGCCTTCACCAACCACCAGATCTACGAGCTGGAGAAGCGCTTCCTCTACCAGAAGTACCTGTCCCCCGCCGACCGCGACCAAATCGCGCAGCAGCTGGGCCTCACCAACGCTCAGGTCATCACCTGGTTTCAGAATCGGCGCGCCAAGCTCAAGCGGGACCTGGAGGAGATGAAGGCCGACGTGGAGTCCGCCAAGAAACTGGGCCCCAGCGGGCAGATGGACATCGTGGCGCTGGCCGAACTGGAGCAGAACTCGGAGGCGGCGGGCGGCGGCGGCGGCGGCTGTGGCAGGGCCAAGTGGAGGCCTGGCTCTCCCGCACTCCCTCCAGGCGTTCCGCAGGCCCCAGGCGCGGGGCCCCTGCAACTCTCGCCCGCTTCCCCGCTCACGGACCAGCCTGCCAGCAGCCAGGACTGCTCGGAGGACGAGGAAGACGAAGAGATCGACGTGGACGATTGAGCAGAGCCCAGGATCCTCTGCCGCCCAGGGCCCCGGAAGCCCGTAGGCCTGCAGCCTCCCGGACGGTCGGGACTGCGGAGGGGAGCTGGGACCTCCTCTGCAACTCCCGCCTTCTCCCCCGTCCCTGGCCCGGACTCGGCTCCCAGCAGCTGCCTCTTCCCTCTCGAAGCAATAAACCCGGCTGGCCGGCCGCAGCGCAGGGCCTCCGCCGCCGGGAGCCCTCGCCGTGCAATTCCGTATGGCTTCTGTATAAATATTTAAACCTATATAGCGGGTTCTCCCACCGCAGCCTGATTTTTTTTTTTTAAATCTCGGAGATATTCATGTTTTCAAAGCTCCCAGGCTGCCGGGTTTGCTGAGAGCGAGGCGGAAGGAGGGTGACGGACACCGAACCTAGCGGTCTGGAGGAGGGGGCCGCGGGACAGTTTCGATTTTCTCTGCATGTGGCGAATGCACCGGCCCTCTTCCTCCTCGCCTCCCCAGGCCTCTTGCAGTTGACTTCTTTTATTTCCTTCTGCATTTTCCCCGCGTGGGAAGGGGCTGAGGCGGGCAGCTGGGTCGTGACTTGCAAGTTTCAAATTGATCTTTTCTCCCCACCTCGAGAGAAGTCTGTTTTCTATGCCATTTCTGCCTCCCGATGCCCACTAACGCTATTTTTAAGATTCTTCCCCACCCTCTCTTGGTTTCCTCGGACTGACGGCTGGGGTCCGGGTCTTGGGACAAAATGGGAAATCCAACCAACCAAGCAACCAACGAAAAAATAACCCAAAGCCCTAGAATTATTTTTTACTCTTTTTAGAATTTTTTTGCATGTGACAGAGACTGAGAGGAGGCCAACCTCTGCCCTCACCCCACCTCCTCCACAGCTCTGGGTCTGTCTTGCCGCCTCCAGCGCCCTGCTCCCAGCTTGACTTGGCCAGACAAGGGTGACCAGATGAGGGTGGGTCCCACGTGCCCCTTCCCTGCTCCTGCCCTGCCTTTTCATCCCGGACTGTACCCAAGGCCTCTTTCTCCGATAAATAAAGTCTTTGCCATTTTACTAGAAGCGGTGGTGACCGTGTCTAAATGAGTGGGCCCTGTTCAGGGAAGCCGTGGCAGGCTCGGTGTGTTGCTCACTGTTGGCTGCACCGGCCTTGGAGACATAGAGGAGTTTCCGGCCAGCCCGCGGGCGTGAGAGTGAGCGGTGAGGGAGAAGTAGTGGGAGGAGGTATTTCTTGCCTGCAAACACCAGGCAGGCTCCAAACGGGGTAGGGATGGGGGGAGGGGGGGGAGAAAGACGAGCAGGCTTCGTCAGGTCGGGGTAAAAAGTGGGATGTACAAGGGAGGGCGCAAATGCTTGCATAGTTTGGGGAGCGCCAAGGACAAGAAATTAATTTGCATGCGGCGAAAGGTGGAGGAGGATTTGCCCTGCGGTTTGTGCATCCCGCCTGGTACCCAAGGGTGTTCTTCCTGCGGCCCCTGGGGCTGGGCTGCGCTTCGTGTTGGGCAGCTCTAGCTTAGCGGGGCAGGAGGGCGCAGGGAGCGTGAGCCACACAGGGCCTCGCCCTGCGGGAGGGAGAGGGATGCGGCCGCAGGCACCCAGGGCAGGCTGAATTGCGCACTGGGCACCGGGGTGTGCGAGCCCCAGGCTTCTCCCTCACCGTCTGAGAGTTGGGGTACATTTCTGGTGATTTTCACAAATTCTGGGGAGAAGTCGGCTGAGGGCAGTGACATCAATCTCCCAAGGACTCGCTGGGGTCCCCCCGCCCCAGGAGGGCTGGGCTGGGGCTGGGCATAGCAGCTTTCACTTTTCCGGAGTGAGCGAGTTCCTCTCGGGCTTTTGTTGTCCCTGGGCTGGCGAGTGGCCGCTGTCACCAGAGGAGGGTCCCGCCTCCAGGCCGCTCAGCTCCCTTTCTCCGCAAAATTGATGTGAGAAATGTGCATCTGGTCGCGGGCAGGCAGTGGGGCCCCGGGGCCTGAGTAGGGGACGTGCGTGTCCGAGACGAAACTAGGAGACAGGAACAGAAAAGGAGCACAGAGACACACTCCAAAAGCAAGCGAGAAAGTGGAAAGCCACAGACAGTGGCGAGAAAGAGGGGGAAGGGGAGAGAGAGAGAGAGAGAGAGAGAGAGAGAGAGAGAGAGAGAGAGAATATAAGAGAAAGAGAAAGAATACAAGAAAGCGGGGGAAAGAGAAGCTAGAGGAGAGAATGAAGGGAGAGAGGCGGCGGGCAGCCGAGGCATAGGGCCGGCCGCTCCTCCCGGGCGGCATAAATCGCCCTCTCTCAGGATGGATGGGTCTGTAATTCGGAGCGCGGACCATGAAGGCCGGGACGAATGGACCCGGGCGGCCGCTGACAGGCGACAATAGCCGGGCCCAGCCCCCCGCGGCTCTGGGTGCGGGCGCGGCCGAGGCCCTCCGCAGCCCAGAGCGCGCTGGCGCTGGCGACCAT